ACGAACGCATAATGAACCTGTATATAAACTAACGGCAAAATCAAGAAACTCTAGCAAGTTTTAGCCATGTATATAAACTAACTGCAAAATCAAGAAACTCTAGGAAGTTTTAGCCATGTATATAAACTAACTGCAAAATCAAGAAACAACTCTAGCAAGTTTTAGCAACTGGCAATGCTTGCAGCGACTAACAAGAAATCCTCAAAACTTTCAAGCCCTCTTCTTCCTAAACCGTTTGCTGCATTCTTGCCCGAGTTGGCCAGCAAACCACACAACAAAGCTAGAAGGGCACACCCAAAAAACGAGTAAATGTAACCCCTGATTTTTTTATTCATAACTGGAGTCTGAGTAAGCGTTTAAAATTGATGGAATATGAACTCTATGTTTGAGGAGGAATCGTTGGCTGGTAGCTTTGATATTCAATAATAACCACCATAAGCTAACTTATAACTTATTTAGTATTTATTTAACTTATAACCACCATAAGCTCCATTGCAAATGGAGCTGGAAGAGTCATTGTTGACAATTCTCCTGGCATAGTGCTAATAATGGACTAGATCAAAATGGCTCAATTAAATTCTAGTGCTTCTTCTATTAGTGAAATTTCTAGAAAAAAAAAATATATCAAACGGCGCAATGCACCTCGGGTCGCTACGGAAACAGCCTCCTTGTATAATTACAAGGGTAAGGTCTGCGTACAACTGACCCCTCAGACCCCAACCTGTTGGGAATATACTGGGTATGTTGTTGTTGTTGTTGTTAGCTTATAAGCTTTTTGTATCCAAATAAGTTTGGTTTAGTAGGACGAGTCGAACTTATCTAATAAACTTCCTTGGATAACTTTCCAAATAAGCCGTTGAAATTTTAATCAGCTAACTTATCAACTAATTTCACTAAACACTTTAAACATATAACCTAGCTTTTCAACAATAATTTATAAGCTATCAGCTAAGTTTATCTTAGCTTATCAAAGATAGATCAAACGTGCTTCAGCCTGCATGTGACTATCGTTATTCATTTATTCAGTTCAAGAAACACGAAGATAAGTGTCATTCCAGTTAATTATTGTGAAACTCCAGACAAGATGATGGCTTCTTTGACCCACTTAGCATAATTGATAGGAATGTGGCAATGACCATGTCCAATTTCAGTTCGACTTTAATGATTTTCTTTATGTGAGGCAAATTTGCCTCACATAAACAATTTTCCAAACAAGATGTATGGAAGTTTGCCTCATAAAGAAAATCATTATGCCTAAACAGTGCGTTTAGTGTGGTACAATCGAATTGTAACTGTTTAGCAAAGTCTACCAATTCTGCTAAGTGTCTCAAAGAGAGCATCATACAACTTGTCTGTGCAGCTTCATAATAATCAACCGGATTGACACACAACTCATCTCATGTTTATTGAATTGAATAAACCAATAACTGTAATCACATACACCACTTTCTAAAAGCACATTTGGCCAGAGATATCGAATATCAAACCCAACACACATTTGGCCAGTATGTAGAATGTAGAGAGAGATTGATTATCAAACCCAGTATTAGAATACAATACCACTTGTGAGTTGTCTCACGTCGTTTATACAGGAACATAGGCCTAACTTATAAGCCTAGTGGGCTACTCCTCCTTCCACCAATTGGTTTTGGAATTGCACCTCAGTATGGTGCATCTAAGTTCACCCTATTATGTTGCATCTAACTCACCTTATTATGGAAAGTCCCATGTACATGAAACGCCCCATAAGAGGGTTAGCTTTGATGCACCTTAATGAGGTTTCATCCCAAAAGTAATTGGTTGAAATGATGGAACTTCATTATGGTGAATCTAGGCTTATGGTGCGCTTTACGTGCGTTATTTTCCCTGTACTATATATATACTTATAGTACTACAGTGCTTGAAGTCAATTTTGCCCGCCTCTAAATAAACATCAGGCCCAAAGCCATAAAAGAATCGAATTTAAGGCCACACTCCTCCACTAATTTGTACATCATTTATTCTTCAACTTCAATCGTGCCTGAACAAACCGAATGAGTGAAATAAGGCTGCCTAAAGTGTGTCTTCGACCTAAAACCCAAATCCCGATTCTGAAATCTTGCGATACTGCTTCTTCGACCTAAAATCCAAATAAGGATGCAAGAAGAAGCATCATCGCGAGATTTCAGGGATCGGAATTTGGATTTTAGGTCGAAGATACGACTTTAGGCAACCTTATTTCACTCATTCGGTCTGTCTCCTTAATTCCAAAAGACCATTAGGCTGGGGCAGGATTGACGTTGAAGAATATTTCTATGATTTCACGGACAAATTAGTGGAGAGTGGCCTTAGTTTCGATTTCTTATATAGCTTTTAGCCAAACATTTATTTACATTTATTTACAGGCGGAAAAATTGACTTCAAGCACTTAGTACCGAAAAATAACGCACCTAAACACATAACAGGGTGAGCCTAGATATACCGTAGTGATGTTCAACCAATTGCTTTTGAGATGGAACCTCAAGGTTAACCCTCGTATGGTGTACTTCATGTACAAGGGATTGCACTCGTTTCCCTCGATGCTTACATGGTATCAGAGTCGGTTCTACGTGGGACCATTCGATGACATACCCGGCCTACGTGGGCTTGGGCTTCGTATGAAAGAATCACAAGTGAGGAGTCGTATTAGAATATAATACCACTTGGGTGTACCACATCGTTGATACAGGAACATAAGGCTAACTTATAAGCCTAGTGGACTAATCTTTCCACCAATTGGTTTTGGATGAAACCTCACTATGGTGCATCTAAGCGGTGCGCTTCACGTGCGTGGGACCGCACCTGTTTCCCCCGATTGTTTCCCCCGATTCTTACACCGGGCACTCAACACTCAACATCAACAATATGCAGGGAGATATTTAATATCAAACTCAACACTCAACGGTTCCTCTTTCATATCCATCAATTTTAACCAAGTAACCGCTTATTCAAAATCTACCTTAGGTTATGGACAAAAAAAAAATCAGGGATTACATTAGTAGTTGGTCCAATGCTTGGTTGGACAATGAGAGCAAAATTAATATGGCAACCTGAATGCAAAACAAGAAATGAAGGGTATCAAGGATATCGGTGAACAATCAGAAACTATTTCCAATAGTGGTTCAAAATTGAATGTGAACTAAGAACATGGTGTCAATTGAGGCTTTCTTCACATGCAAAAGATGCCTTTCATGTCGAAGCCATTTCTTCACTAGGAAGAGGAATCACCTCAAAAATCTTCAATTCTTTAGGCTAATTACAAAGGAGTTGCCGTGAGTTTCAATCATACCACATAAAATGCATAACTATGTCTCAAATTTTGAATAACTTCATGATAAATGTTCTGACTTTATAAAGTGCAAGCTTAGTAGATTATAGAGTTAGGCTTGTAAAGAACAATAGATGGGGGTCTTTGTAAGGCCCAAGGGGAATTGGTAACTGCTTTCTTCGGTAACTATAGGCACGAAAGTTTTTACGCTTTGCTCCCTATGGGGACACTATCTATTCATTACCAAGTGCGATGTGAATAAGCTTTTGTGGAACCCCAATTTATCTCAAACTTAAGACACAATAAACACACTGAATCCACACATCCTAGTTTGTGTTGATATTACATTTATTTTTCTTGCCTAACTTAAAATTAATGGAGAATTTCTCATTACACAAAGAGGCAGTCGAAAAGGATTCTAAGAAGGGACTTGCTAGTACTTAACAGTAAAAAAAAAAAAATGTGAAAACCCTTTTGAAATCTAAAATTTCAGAATCTTTGGAAATGAAAATTGCCAATGGTCATGAACCTTATCCAAAAGCCACTTTTGTGTTACATCGCTCACCACAGATATGAAAAACATGCCTGTTTTGAGCCTGTAGAGTACAAACTAGGATTGGCACTTGAGAGATTCGGGCCTATTATAAGTCGTGTAAAAATCAAATTTTGAAACTGTAGCTAATTTAGACAAGTTTCTGACAAAAACTATTATCTGTGGATGAACCAAAACATTGGCTTTTACCAACCACAGAGATTGCATTGAACAAATTCAATATATACTTCTATGACACTTAAGTGTGAAATGGAGAATTTCGAGCTAGTCGTGGAAATTTAGAAACCAAGCAGCTCATTTATTCAACACTGAATATATACCAAACAAACCTACATCACATGGAGAATTTTCGAGCTAGTCATTGATATTTAGAATTAAAGCAGCTCATTCATTCAACACTGAATTAATGGATATCAAGATTAAGCACGCCAATACTGTGTGCTTCCCAAATCATGAACTTTTGCAGAAAAAAACAAATAAAAATCCAAAATCTCATTCTACATCACAGTTCAATCACAACAAACAGTCAAATTGGAGGCTACAAACTAAAATCACAATAAAAATAGTAAAAATAAACAAAAAGAAAGGTGAGAGCTTTACCATGGAAGTCAGAGTTGCATCCCCGTACAACAAACAGGCGGTGCCCAGTCAAGATTTCCCGGCAGAGATTGCATAAATGCAGGAGACGGCAAGAGGCCTTGGAAAATCAGCTCGACCCAATCCCTAGGAAGAAATGGGGCATCTGGCTGACCATGTAATCGCTGTACTCCCTCGCGTACCAGCTCTTGAGCTCCGACATAAATGGCGGAGAGAGGTGTTTGTTGTGAATCGAAAGAAAATGAGCGACTTTGCGAGAAAGGAAACAGCAATGAAGGAGAATGGTGAAGGAGACAAAAGGGGATCTTGTAGAAGAACGCAAAGTTAGGGTTTCGCTTGAATGGAGAAGATAAGGGGTCTGTGGTGGAAAATGGACGAGAACTAATTGACACGTCTCTGGGCCTGACCACGCATGGACCGAAGAGTTTAAGGACATAACTAGCCTCATTTTAAAAAACAATTCCATTAACGAAATGGGGTGTACAGAATTCCAAAAAGTTTTAAAGTTATTCATTACACAACTACTACGTAGCCCAGCGATGCACGGGTCTGAGTTTCCAGATGGCCTGTTCATTGGTTTAAAAAAATAGTGTTAAATCATCTATTTTACACCTCTTTTGATCATCGTTATTTTTTAGTCATAACGTTAAACCTCGGCCTATTAGCTCTAGTATATAAATTAATTATTAGCTCTAGTATGTAAATTAATTAACATATTATCTCGCTAAAACGTTGATACTAATATAAATTTGATTTTAGTATATACATTATTTTTTAATATAAAAAATAATAGTTTTACATATTCTGGTATAATACTTAATTTATTATTTTATCATAACATTTATTGTCATTATAATTTTTTAATAAATATTTTAGAAAATAAAAAAATATTTATCTAATTACAAACTCATTATCTCGAGTTTGAAACCATAAATTTTATTCTTAAAATAAAATTTGGAAAAATTCAACTTGTAATCAAAGATGAATTTGAACTGATTTGAGATTCCTAATCCATCTCAAATTTATTTTGTGAAAAAAAGGTTATTCAAAATGTTTATACCAAGAGTCCTAATATTTTTAAATTGTAAAAAGTATTCATGCAAAATATCTCCACTGACTTTCGTGGACCACAATATTGTATTGATTCAACAAACTAATTAATTTTAGGAAGTGAATAGTTGTGTATGTATATGGAAGAAATTTGAAAATTCAAATTCCAAAACCAATACCACAATATCGTATTTGATTAAACAAATTAATTAATTTTAGGAAGTGAATAGTTGCGTATATATATGGAAGAAATTTGAAAATTCAAATTTCAAAACCAATATCGTATGTAATGGGTTATACCAAGTTCCCAATTTTTTCAAAATTGTATAAATCCTCCATGCAAGGAATCTTCACTAATTTTGGGACCAACAAATTACTTAAATTTAGGAAGGCATAAATTGTGTACGTGGATACTGTTTCTGTTGTATGTTTAAAGAAAATAAATTAAAAAATGGTATTGATATTGGATTGTATTATGAGGGATTTAACAAAAATACAAATTTTTAGGACACGATTTGATTTGAATTTTTCAAATTAAATTCCACTTTTTTAGGCCGTCTAAGTCAAATGATGATAAGGATTAATGTTAAAAAAAAATCAAAAAAAAAATCAAAAAATAGTAAGCAATAAATGTTGTCCTAAAATTTCTAATTACTATTTATGGTAAATAGTAATTCTTATTATATATATATAGATTAATCCAAAATTTGACTAAGTAACTGCTATCTATCTAATCAATTTTCATTTTCTCTCTCTTCCTTCACTCTTTTTCTTCTTTCTCACATATTTTCTCTAATCTCTTTTCTTCTTCTTCTTCAAACATGAATGCCTAAAAAAAAAAAGATTAATTAATTGATTACATACATGCTTGGCTTGTAATGTGGAAAAATTATAATTTATATTTTTTCTTAACCAACCTCTACTAATTAGTAGCAGCGGCGAGTAAGTACTAGCCCTAGGTAACGACTACCCGAATTTTTTCTTATTTTTAATTTAACCGCGAGACGCTCTACGATTAAACTTGACTTCTTGTACAGTCCAGAAAAATATTTTCAAGATTTAATACAATTAGCCGCTTTACGAACTAGAAAAATAGACTAAAGTAGTGAACTCAACTACGTTCGTTCACTTAAATAGGTCGTATTATCCCGGTAGTTACCATCTTCCGGTTGCCTCTCATGAATCAAACACAACAACAATTACAGATTAAAGGTCTAATTCTAGCTATAGATATGAAAAGTCTAATCTAGGTGATCAATCTAAATAAGACTCAAATTGCTCAGTCAAAATAACACAAACAATTTCAAAAAAATAATTAAATTAACAACCATGAAAATTAACAAAACATCGTCAAGTCGTAGGGTTCGACATCCCCGGAATTAAAGATAAAAACCTTGCCTAACATAATAAATAATAAAAGAAAAAAATAGAATTATTCTCTTTTGTGTGCGAGTGCGGTCTCCCTCCACTTCCGTCGAGTTTGTCGTCTCCCAGTGCGTCTGCTTTTCCTTCTCTTTTTCTCTGATATTGCGGCTGCTGCTCCAAAATAATTCTCCTCTCTGTGGGGCGGCTGCTTTTTTTTTTCTCTGTTGCGTGAATAATATGTTCAAGGGGTTCAGCAAATAAATCCCTCCTGGCTGCGTATATCTTCTTTCTAAGTGTCCAACCCCTCCAAAATAATTTCTGATAGATGTGTGAGTGCTGCCCTAATCCTCCAATTTAGTTAGGAGATAATTACTCTATTAACGAACTCCATCATAAAATATTGCAGATCTACGACCTATAATATTTTAATTGCAAAAGGACATAAACTACCTAACATAATTATAAACATATGACTGTAAAAGAACATTTTCCGTTTTCTTTTCTCTTTTTTCCACTTTTCTTATTTTCTGTAATTTCTCTTATCACCTCCACTCTCCTCTCCTTATATTCTTCTTCCCTTCTCCATTTTTTTCTTCAGCATTCACAGACACAAAAAAATCCAATTCTTCTCCGTTATCCCAATTTCTTTTTCTACACTAGTCTTTTCCTCATTTGAAATCATATGTACGGGTGTGATGTGGAACAAATAAAGCTATAGATTTTGGTGCCTACTTTCTTGTTATTCTATTTGCAATTTTATTCTTGGGAATGTTGACAACAATCTGTTTGAGGACTTCCAATCCTTTTCTGCGAGCTTCGCCATTTAATGTGTTTTGCCATTAAACTAGCTATGGATCCAGGTTGGTTTTTTCCTTGTTCAATTGGGTGCAATTTAACTCTGGCACAATTTGTCCATGCTTTGGTTTCCGAAGCTAAAGGAATAAGGTTTATTCAATTTTTCTTTTTCTTTTTTTTCTATTTTTTATTTTTATTTTTATTATTATTATTTTTTTAAATTATCCATGCTGGACAAAAACGATTCAGAACTATAACCAGTACCGTGGACAATTCTGGCACAATTTGTCCATGCTTTGGTTGTTTCGTGGACGCTGCTGTCTCGCTCCCCTACGCTTTGGGACGACAACATATACTAAATATACATAAATATATACTAAATATTAAGAGAATATTGTAACATATACTAAATATAAACTCAATATATACTGCTCATTCAGGATATGAGAATTTATACTGACTTTTATACTCAACATATACTTCGTTGTAACATATGCTAAATATATACTAAAAAATTTGCTATAGAATTTACATGAAAAGATAATTAAATTTAAATTGAATGGAATAAAGAGAAGAGAGAGAGAGAAGGAGAATATTATGAGAAGATAAGGAAAAAAAAAATGGATGAATAGTATGTGGAGTAAGAAAGAGAGTAATAAAGAATGCTTTTAATATGTAGAAGAGAGGAGTAATAAAGAATGCTTTTAAGAAATGAGAATTATTAGGAGGAGAGAGGAGAAAGAATGCTTTTAATATGTATGAGAGAGGAGAGAGAATACTTTTAATATGTAGTATTTATCTAAATATTTATGCTAGGTTAGGTAAATGTGCAAATACATTTTTCATTTAGTATTTTTACAATTATTTATCAATCAATTAAGTATATATGTAAATTGGTCGTTAGTTAATTGCACAAAATTGGGCTTAATTTACCCTTGCATTCGTTATTTGGCCTTAATAATTTTCAGCCTTGTAAGATACTTCAACAAATGGACTCTTATCAACCAATCATAATATTGGGTCTGTTCTGTCAGCAGAGTATGGGGTTTTCAACTTTGTCGGTAGCAGAATATGGGGCACCCCCGTACTGCACCACACAGAGGTTGTCGAGCTCACGTCTATGCATTTAATGTCTCGCCGCTCGTAAAAATAGTCCAATAGTCTGAAAATAAACCATAAAAATATCATAGAACCTGAATTCATCTAAGAAATAAATAGGTCGAAAAAGATCTAAGTGCGATAAAATCAAGCATATAAAAATACGCTAATAAATATATAAAATACACACTTTTTCCAACCTTTCAAATCTCCCAAAACTTAAATCATTGCTTGTCCCAAGCAATTTAGAACTAAAAGCACATAGATGGACAAAAGATAAGTACGTGGAATATTTATTCAAAGCCTCACACTTCTCACATAAATACATAGTTCAAATAACTCAAATTAATCTATCCGGACTCAAGATGAAATCATTCTAGGAACTCAAACACATCAAGTATCATTCTAAGTGACCACCATAGTTTATCAAACTTTATAATGAATGCATCGATCAATGCAACTCATGACACCCCTCTCTTTGTTAACAAGTCTAGTTTTTTTCCGTTTCTAGCTGAAGTCTAAATGTCTCATTCTTCATTTTTTTTCTTTCTTTTTTTTTAACGTAGGGAGCGGCATCTCCATCACAACCTGTGGATTTTAGCCTTTCGTGCTCGTCCAGATACGAAAATTATTGGAATTATACACTAAAGCCCCCATGGATTGGCAGTTGTTGCAGCCCATAACTCTTTTTTTCTTTTTCTTTTTTCCTTTTTTTTCTTGTGCCAAACGGCATTTCAACTCAACGCCAATTATTCCTCCATCCTCATTATTCTTTTTTTTTTTTACTATGAGACATAGAAAACCCAACTTTCAACTTCAAGTCCCCAAACTTAATCAACATTGATTAAAACAATCACAAGCACATCTCAACAATACAAATCGCCTTAAAACCAACTCACCACAAATAAGTCACAAAAATATCAACCATCATGCCTTTGTCCCCAAAATAAAACATCTCAAGAATTTAACCATATATGATGTATAGGATGTCGTCGATGAAGACAATGACGAACTGGTCCGAATAGGAATGGAACACTCGACTCATGAGTCCAAGAAAATGGCGGGGCATTACTCAGTCCAAATGGCATAACCACAAACTCTTAGTGGCCTTACCGGTTCGGAAAAAGTCTTAACACGTCTAACTCTTAGATCTTCGAAAGATGGACAGATCTCAAATCGACCTTTGAGACCCGTTGATTTCTCTCTGCTGATAACTAGGTCCCCAAATATCGGCTTGGGTACTTAGAAAAGAAAACGCATACCAAATGCTCACAACTGAAAGAATAATATAAGACAAGCGGAATACTGGAAGTACTTGTCTTAATTGAAACACAATGTCGCAAAACTTGAACTCAAACTCCCACGAACAAAAACAAGAATAAGAGTTTTACAAGGATAGCAAAAGTTTGCAAATAACAAAAACTCAAGGAACAAAAGACTACTCCCGAACTTCAAAACAGTAATAGAACGGGAGTTTCGAGAGACTGCGATGCACGAAAGTTCAAGAATAAAAGACGGCTCTACTCTACATGTCCACTCTCGCTGCTCGTCCTTGGTTTGGTTCCTGTTGCTGCTGCTAGAAAAACGTCTATAACTCTCGAACAAACAGTTCGCTCCTCGACGATAATTTCTTCATTATACTCCCGATGATATTCTCTAAAAGCTCTTAGCTACCCTCCTTAAGAGGACTCTTCTTACCTCTTACGGGAAAATGTTTCTGGCATTGTCTTCGATCCAACCCCATAGGGTATGATCGTCTCGTATTCTTTTGGATGGAGTGTCGCCACGCGACCACAACATCGGTTGTTCAAATCCTTCCTTCCGAAGTTAACGTATTATGTCTTTCACAAGAAAGTCGGTAACTATCGTTCTCCTCAAGGCTAAGCTAACCTTGAGAGGTAAACAATACCAATGCTCTTGATTCTAGCCACTCTCTTGGCTTCAAAACGAAAGTGCTCAAAGCATTCGCTTCTGCTTCTCGTACTAGGTATATGTGGATTCATCCACGCTTCCGCTGAATCTTCTGCTAATCGATTCAGCAGCTTAGGTATTCTCGTATTGCTGCCCCAAAAGCTCCAGGCAACATTCGCCAATAGACTTGGCGATTTCTCTTCCTTAAGCTCTCCTTCGTCGTCGAAGCAACTCGCAGACGATCGGCTTCCAACTCTCAGCTATGCTACCCCCTCGGCTTCCTCTCTTTGACTCGTAGAAGTTACCTCAATATGTTGGGTCACGGTCCAGCTTCAAGCCTTCATGGTTCACACGGATCTGTGGCTTTTATACACTAGAAACAACTACTACTCACTCTGCCGAAGTACTCTGAGGTAACCTCCATAGTCAAAACTTAATTCAACTGGACTTAAGTTCGGAACTAAAACTTCTACTCGAGATCAAAACTATCTACTAAACTAGAGTTCAAAACTCGGAACTTAGCTAGAGTCCTAGTCTCACTAAAACTCGAGGATAGAAATTCCTAAGCCCCATAGCTACTGCTGAACATGTCATCTCAAACATGCATAGAAAAACTTATAATACTCTCTTTATAAAATTAATTATCATTCTTCAACTTATAATATGAATACAAATAACTTATAAATAACGATATCGAATTTGAATCATGAATAAAAAAAAATAAGTTATTATAACTCCACTATTTGCTTCTTTTTTTCTTCTTTTCCTTTTTCCGAATTATTCATGTTTTTTCGGACATGAAACTAATTATAGGTATAAATTTATAGAACTTGAATATTCTAAAATTATTTGTTCAGATCATGTCATAATCTTCATAAGTTGAGGCACATATCCAATGTAAGCACTAACATTGGTTGAGAGTCTTGAGACAACACCTTGTGAAAGTCTTAGAAAAAAAAAAAGACAATCAAAAGTTGGCAAACAACACAAGCTGAATAGCATGGTACCAAACAGCAAACATAAACTGATGTACAATCTGTTTCTATTCTAACTCAATCGAACCAAACCAAGCACAACGAACTCGACAATTGCTCATCCTATAACCAGAAAATTCATTAGCTAAACCTCGACTACTAGCAAAAGAGCAATTGAAAAAGTTTACATGCTACACTTGAGTCGGGCAAACGTTAAATAACCCGTATGCCCTTTAGCCTCACCACTTCTTCTAGCCATTATCATCGGAGGTTTTGAATTTTCCAGTTTGTTTGCAGGGCGCTGCCTCTTCTTGGAACCCTTACGAGTCCCCAAACTCCCATCACTGTCTTGCCAGCTTCCCAAGTTCCCTTCCCGAACTTCACATGTGTGGAGAAGTACTTCGAATGTTCTTATATCTGCAATTAAAAGAAAAATAAAAAATAGTATAACATAATTCAGGAAAACGTATACATCCATTAACGTGGTATTTTATCTATAATTTTCAATAATATATGGGATTTATTATAATTTATCACTAGGCAAAACATCGAGATGGTTTCATGTAAGAATCTCTTTATGGTGAATAGTAACTGCAAGATGAGATCTTGGAAGGAAGGAAGGTCTACCAGTGAAATGTAACTTCAATGTTTCGCAAGATTTTTGTACTTGCTCGATACAAGGAGAGAATGAGCACAAGACACCATCTTGTTGTAGCATTTTAGCAGCAGAAGGAATGGCCGACCAAGGCTGAGGCAGGTCAAGGAAAATTGAATCTGCCTTTCCGGAAAACCCTCTCCCTGTATATCCCTGACACTGACTGTCACCAANATACAGGCATAGCCACCAAATCCATTTACTGCTTAGTTATCACATAAAACATGGAGTTCAGGTGCGGTCTAATAGAATGAAGAAAGTCGAATTGTACATCACTTTAAACTACACGACAACAATAAAACAAAATTGGATTCTCTCATCTCATATATATTAGCTCCATTTCGATCAAGAACGTGGTCAGTGAAAAATCATTCTCATTGTGTTGTCTCCTCTTATTTACTGATTAACAAATTCAGTAGGTCTGCTGTCAAACTCAAGTAACAGATCAGGCGGACATGCTTTAAAGAAACAAAAAATAAATAAATAAATAAAAATAAACCACCACATACTTTAACAAAGACATGTCACATACCTTTCCAAAACAGCGTAGAACAAAACTCTAACACGATTCAAAAGGTATGATATTTCACAGTAAAGCATACACATTTGTACTAAAAGTATCATTGACGGGTCAAAATTAGCCTGTCTAAGCAACTTTGGCCTAGACGGAAGATTTCGTGTAACAAAATCGTATGAAATAACATTGAACACAAATCAAACATAACTACAAAATCAATGAAACCGACAAGTATCTAGAAATCCTTCACCAACAAAGCTGCCAATTGAGTAATCGTAACTAATTTACTCCAGCTCAAACATATAATCAAGTACAAAACCAGAAAACATTGAATCAATCAACCATCAAACTGCAGAAAATCCTCACCTGGCCGACGAAGCCCTCTGTTCATGAAAATCGAAGGTGTGCACGTGCCCATTTGGCGCCACAGCACGGGCAAGGGAGGTCGTGAGGGACCCACTTCCGGTACCGGACTCGAGCACCACACCACACATCCCGGGACAATTTCCAAATACATAACAATGAAACTAATATCCGCAATGTACAAAATCTGAGTCCTATGGCTCAAAACCAGAGTCCACAGCTCAGGGGTCGGAGCCAACAAGTAAACAAACCCACCTTTGTTGCTGAACACCTTCGAGCCAGACTGTTTCCCAACCCAATCACCATGCTTGAACACACCAAACCGATTTTGGAAAACCCCATCGCCAGAAACTTTGACCGGCTTCATAACATCGTGCCTCTCGTAAACTATCACCAAATATCCTTCGTGTATACAGCGATTGAAAGATAGTTTTCTGGTGCCATCAATCGGTAGCATTGCTAACGGATTAAGTGAAATTCAATCGGGTAATCTGCAGAAAACAGCATATATACATTGAAGCACCGCAAAAAGGAACTATGGATAATCAGCAAGTCGACAATTAAAGGAAAATTCAAATCAAATACTTACTTCCAGAGGGTTTGGAGAATGGTGAAGCAGGTAGGGTTTATACCTTTATACTGTATCTATTTACAAGCTTAGTAGATTATAGAGTTAGGCTTGTAAAGAACAATAGATGGGGGTCTTTGTAAGGCCGAAGGGGCATTGGTAACTGCTTTCTTTCGGCAACTAGGCCGAAGGGACACTATCTATTCATTACCAAGTGCGATGTGAATAAGCTTTTGTGGAACCCCAATTTATCTCAAACTTAAGGCAAAATGAACACACTGAATCCACACATCCTAGTTTGTGTTGATATTACATTTATTTTTCTTGCCTAACTTAAAATTAATGGAGAATTTCTCATTACACAAAGAAGCAGTCGGAAAGGATTCTAAGAAGGGTTCTGCTAGTACTTAACAGTCAAAAATAAGATGTGAAACCCTTTTGAAATCTAAAATGTCAGAATCTTTAGAAATGAAAATTGCCAATGGTCATGAACCTTATCCGAAAGCCACTATTTTGTTACATCCCTCAACACAGATATGAAAAACATGCTTGTTTTGAGCCTGTAGAGTACAAACTAGGATTGTCACTTGAGAGATTCGGGCCTATTATAAGTCGCGTAAAAATCAAATTTTGAAACTGTAGCTACTTTAGACAAGTTTCTGACAAAAACTATTATCTGTGGATGAACCAAAACATTAGCTTCTACCAACCACAGAGATTGCCTTGAACAAATTTAATATATATTTCTATGTCACTTAAGTGTGGAATGGAGAATTTCGAGCTAGTTATGGAAATTTAGCAACAAAGCAGCTCATTTATTCAACACTGAATATATACCAAAACAAACCTACATCACATGGAGAATTTTCGAGCTAGTCATTGATATTTAGAATTAAAGCAGCTCATTCATTCAACACTGAATGTATATTAAAAAAATGGATATCAAGATTAAGCACGCCAATACTGTGTTCTTCCCAAATCATGAACTTTTGCAGAAAAAAACAAATAAAAATCCAAAATCTCATTCTACATCACAGTTCAATCACTACAAACAGTCAAAGGAGGCTACAAACTAAAATCACAATTATCATAGTAAAAAATAAACAAAAAAAAGGTGAGAGCTTTACCATGGAAGTCAGAGTTGCAGCCCCGTTGCAGTCAGAGCTTTACCATAAATGCAGGCGACGGCAAGAGGCCTTGGAAAATCAGCTCGACCGAATCCGAAGAAATGGGGCCTCTGGCTGACCAGGTAGTCGCTGTACTCCCTAGGCGGGCTAGGCCAGCTTTTTTTTCTTTCTTCTTTTTTTTAAATAATTGGGCTGCAGCCTGCAGCCCGATAAGATAATGTTAGGTTAGGCTTCGGCTCAGTTCAAGAGATCCGAATCTTGAGAGTCCTTTAGGTTGTGAACCTCATCAGGTCTTGATCACAAAGCCACCTCCGAGCTCTGGTTCCCCTGGCCGAGCTACCTAGGTGTCGAGGTTCCCAGCTGCCTAGGCGTCCAACTGCTGAGATGCCTAGCTGTCTAGGCGATCACAACCGCCTAGCTCATCACTCTTAGCATTCCGCCTAGCTCACGCTGAACTAGTCTCTGCCTAGTTGGCTGGACCACGCCAAGATGATTGGACTACGCTTAGCTAGTTTTCGCTTAGTTGTGGCTAAGTTCGGCCTATCATCGGTCGTCCTTCATGAACCACTATTTATGGCCGTATTGATGGATGCAAAGGAGAAAATCTTCAATTTTTTCAAACATAAACAAAAAAAAAATGTTCACCATATGGAAAAGAAAATGAAGACTAAAAATAAATAATTGATGAGGGTAAAAATAAACTGAAATCATGTATTTTGATTACATTAACTCGACCCACACCTCAATTTTCCAACACAAGGGCAAAGCTTTTGTCCGTATTATCCACTTCAATTACCCTTTATTAAACCCGAGATGTCACTGCAAATATCTTTTTCTCACACATATACACATTTAGTTGTTGTAAAATTTTTGTCACTAAATAATTGAGTTT